ATGGGATTAGAAAACCACTATAAACCAATTTTTTTAAAAATCAAACCCTCACGAAATTACTTATGAATGGTTAATGAGATTTATCAAGTTTCACGTTAAATTATTTATGGTAAAATGATCTTTCAATGCTATAAATAGACTAATAATAGACACCATGTTCGTTAGAGTTTTCAGCACCACCGGTGGAGTCAGTTTCATTCGACGACATACATAAAATAATAATTTTCATAGATAGTATGTTATTGTCTCGCCATGAATTCCACATGGTTATCTCAAAATTCGTTTCAAAGTATCGAGGTGATGAATATTTCTTTTATTGAGTTTTTTTTAATTTGAACATACTATCTATTTTTGAGATTAATACAACTTATAATTAGCATTAAATTTATCACTGATTTCTATATACACATATACCCATTGACATTTATTCTCAAACAAAAACCCTGATGCAATCCACACATAAACACACACAAACTCTAATTTTTATGATATTTTTCGTTTTTTTATGGAGATAAAGGCTATATGCATACACACATGACTATATTTTATATGTTCTTAATAAAATTATTTTACATTCTTAGTAATTTCTGTTGAATTGGAAAATACAATCTCGGGATATCTTAGAATCTCTGGATATCTCACAAGAAATAGACAAGTTCATTCATATCATATGTGTATTAGCGATTGTGTATAGGTCTTTTCTTGTTCGCACTATTATAATCCATATCCACCAATCCATCAACATCACTTCCTCCTCCTTCGTGCCTTAGTTTCCGATTCCCTTGAACCTTCTCCGCTACCAATAACGTTCGTTTCTTTACGATTTCTCGTAAGCTCCGTGCTAAAAAAACCCGAAACTTTATCAAAAACTCATTTATTTGGTGATATATATATATATATATTTTGATTTTTTTTTAACCTTTTCATATATATTTTGATTTTGATATATATGCTTTTGGGTTGAATATTTTGATATTCAACCCAAAAATTTTAGAAGAGAATAAATCTTGATGGCTACTTGATATACCTATAAACATGTGATGTGTGTATTAGCTAAATATTTACCTTGAGTAAGAGAACAGACGAAGAGTAGGAGAAGAAGTGTGAGGAGGAGAGACTTGTGGGAAACCCTAATTGCCATTTTTGGAGAGACTCTTTTATTTGATTTTTCTTGTTTCGCTATATACTTTTTGTATTGAACCTTTTTGTGTTTATATATAAGAGATGAATGAATCTATGATGAGCTTATTGGTCCCAATTTTATATCAGAATTGATTAACGTTTTGGAAGTTATTGGGACATATGGGTCTAAGGAATTGACGTCGATATTTCTATGTCTTCCCACATTAACATAGATATATCCCCACAAAATTAATTTTTCTTGTTTGCAGATTACAATTTGTGCAATCATTTTGTTTGAAACGAGAAATAGAATTTCGGTTAAAGTGTTTCATTTCAATACATAATCTGTTTTTGTGTAAGACATTTAATGTGGAAGTGTCATACTAGTATGGTTAGCAATGAAAATGGTCCAGCTTTCGTTCGTCAACATTCATATATATGCTTTTGGACGCAGAAGTCAAAGATGAAATCACGAACATATGATCAACCGTTTGTCACCATTTATATGATTTTCCGATTTATTTAATGTTCTCTCTAAATTTCTCTCAGTTATCAAATTGGCTAATCTTTACCTTCTCTCTACAATGTTGTTTTATATGCAGGATCAAGAGAAGTTACAACAAAATATATAGTGAGTTTAATGGAATTAGTGAACATAATAATTTCCCATCACTACCGATTGGTATGCTACTAAATTATGGGCACACACTCAACTTAACCAACAGTTTACTTATACTTTATACTAGATACGTACAACATTATGTCTAAATATAGTGTAAGCCATCCAAATTATACATATAACCATACTTGACAACTATATTTCACAATAAAATATAATATAGTAAGGTTTTTCAAAATTCAATCAATGAGAAGTTGTCATGTGTCATCTAATTTTTTTATATTTGTCTTTTTAATTTATTCATTTAAAAAAATTAACTTTTGAACATTTGTTTTTTTTAATTTATTTATTGAAAAAAAAAAGAAAAATTAAGTGTCTTTTGAGAGACACATGGTGAGATCAATTTTGAGGAGACGATAGGAGATTGAGTTTGTGGTCCTTCAAAGGAATATGATTTATCAGACAAATTGAAAACCAATGATTTATACGCAAGTCAATGTATTCATATTATAATAACTTAATGCTATCATTCACTATTGTCATACATACACACATAAAATGTTTTATGTAGTCAAG